ATTTGAATAAATGAAAGTGTTGAATAAACTAAAGAAAAAGTGGTACATAAAATCGAAGAAAAATGGAAAGTGGAGAACAATTAATATTGTTAGTTGAAAAAGTCATTAGAACAGTAGCTAAAGTCATGAGAAGCTTGAAGGTGATGCAAGGAAAATGGCATAGTCTTAGACCTCGATTGTATTACAAATATAGAAACCAAGACATTTGGCCTGTAATTGTCTGGTTCAGAAATTTGGTAAAGGAAGCCTGGAATTGTATAATATAAGATTTATAAGGTTTGTAAAGTTAGACGATAATAGTGTCAAAAGACGTGGGTATACTAAAAGAGATAAATTGAGAAGAAAAAGGGTAATAAATGATAATAGAAATTGTCAAAATAAAAAGAGTATGAAGATGAAGAATAAACCTAAAGCTTCTGGAGAATCGAGCTCAGATTGTAGAGTGACGATGATTGATTATGATGAAATCGATATTGAAAAGAACAAAAATAAGATGGTTAAGCAGTATTTGAACTCTGCTAAAAATAGAAATCCAAATAAGAAGAATAATCTCAAATCTGGCTATAACAAGGATGAAAGCACAACCAAGAATGAAAAGGTAGCATTTGAGTGAAATCCAAAATTACCTCAACATAGCTTCAATGAGAATGATGATCCAATCAAGATGAATAAGAAGAAAATTGACAACTTGCCGATGGTGAGTGAAGAAATAATCAAAAAAATCTGACGTGCTGAGGAAATAGCCTGAAAGACTGAACAGGATGAAAAAGCTTATAGTGATGAAATAGTTGAGAATGAGGCAATGATTAATTTAGATAGTCTAGAGAAGAATTTAAAGGAAGATATTAGTAGTATTGAAAATATTGAAAAGATAACATCTGAGGTTGCAAATGATGAAATAAAAACAAGAAAAGAGATGAATTATATACTGTTGTCCAGATACTGCTGTGATGTTAAATATGAATGGGATAGTAGCATGGAACCTAAAGCACGAAAGTCTTGTGAAAAGAATCTGATAATAATATTGAACATGTTGAATTGAATTAGAAAAAGAAGATTCTACAATCGTATATACCTGGATCATACGATTGGGTGTGATAGACTGGAACATGTGATACTTGAAAATCGAATTGACATGCAGATAATTGAATATTTGGATTTGAAGAAGATATATGCGAAGAACAGTTTTACTGTGAAATAAAGCTTTGTGAAGGATATTGAGTAGTTAAAAAAAAAAAAAATTTTTTAATACTTGTCTTAGAATATGGAGGTTCGAAGTGTTAATGTATGTGTTATGTATAACTCTCATACTGATCAATTGAAATTATAAACAAGCGATCGAATTATGCGACATCAGTAATGAGAATACCGAAGTAAGATGAAATTATAAATAGTTAGTAGTATAAATACTGAAGTGTTATAATTATGCAACGGTCAGTAAAAGAGTATACTGAAATAAACATAAAAAAATGAGAATAACTTAAGAAACAAAATAGATAAGAAAAAAAAATTGTATATATAATAATTAGTGGTCTGAACAGATATTAATATTTGTAGAATTTTGTGTGAATATTATCTTACTGAGTTATTATGTTGCGCTAGTGAATTGGTTAGATTGGAACTAGTAGGTTAGTAGTGCTATAAAAAATCGGCAGTCACGTGATAATGTTTGATTCAAAAATTTATCTCTACATATAAGTTAGTGG